CTAGCAACGCGGTCGTATGAAACAATGCACGTCGTTGAAGCCTAAAAGCACCCTGTGGGCGATTTCAAAGTCCAACTATGACGAGCGTTGAAAACGCAGCGTTCCCGGACACAAGTTGACGACGCGGTACATGGTTTTTGACAACGGTGGACGCGCGGCGCAGACGTCGTCAACAGATGTCCGCAGCGTCCAGGGCTGTCAGCTTGTGTCTGACTACGCTGCGTTTTCAACACAGGTCGTTGAGTTCTGAAAGCGCCTCCTGATCAATAATGCTTATGGATTTCTAATGTTTACTGGAATGATTTGAGGATAAAAAAGCCGCTACAAGAGGTGGTAAAGGCAAAAAAGGCAAGGGTAAGAAAGAAGAGGTGAGGCAGTAGACACTCGCTCACCCATTTCCATCAGTCGTACGACAATCAGTTTAGGAAAAAGAAAAGAAGGAAGTGAAAGAAAAAGTAGAAGTAGAAAAGAAGGAAGAAAAAGGAGAAGCTGCCGAAGAGGTGCTTACTAATCAAATACGAAAATTTGAGTGTGAGCAAAATCATGTAATTTCATTTTCAATGGTTTTAGAAGGCGCCAGAGAAGGAACTCAAACCGAGTGATAAGGAAAAAGATGAAGAGGGTAAAGAAGAGAAAAATGATAAAGACAAAGAAAAAGACAAAGAAGAGAAGGATGAAGAGCAAAATGAAGAAAAGAAGGATGGAGAGAAGAAAGGTGAAAAGAAGGATGGAGAGAAGAAAGATGAAAAGAAGGAAGATGAACCCAAAAAGGACGAGAAAGAAGACGTTGCTGTTGATAAAGGTTGTAGTTCTTTCAGTCATTTTAGTCGAAAAGGTGTCAGTACCGCAAGGGAAAGGGTGCCATGATGACCATCGGATGGTATGAATCGGGATTTGGCGGAGAGCAATGAATTTGTGGGATAAGCTGAATGTAACCCACGAATTTCCATCGGCCTTCGATTCTTGGATAGTTGTTCCACCACGCTTTTGACAGATAGGGACTTTTCTATACTTGATGGGGAAGGGGGAGATAGTAGACTCTGTTCGAGCGCAAGGCGGCGGTTGTGAATCCCAAGCAGAGTTTATGGTTCATGGTCCCGAGCAGGGCGATATTTCACCCGAGACTATCAGTTGTACGCCCGGAACAAGAGCAGCTCCCGGAATACAACTATGGGCTAAAGCGCGAATTTTCCTTTGGGAGCACTACTTTAGACTGTTCCTACAGTTTATCTTACTACAACTGAGTCTTACTGGGTTTACCAGGTACATTGGGTAATGGTATGATGAGGTACTCGTTGTTAGAAAAGTTTTTACATACAGATGCCAAGTTGGAGGTTTCACCTACGGAACTTAAGTGGGAATTTGAAGAAGGCCAGCACGTTATCACAGTTACTAACAACACAAAAGCTCGTTTTGCAATCAAACTCAAATGTACTGATAACGAGCTTTACAGGTAGGCTCCCCAAACAACAGCTTGAGTTCATCGTTAGCTTTAAAAAGATGCTATGTTGTAGTGTCGCACCCGTCATGGATTTCGTAGATGCTGGGAAAGTTCTTAACGTTGCTATTGTGCGTTCTAAAGGGCCATTCAAAAAGGACAAGATAGTGCTTTGTTCTAAGCAGGTAGTATTTCTTATTCTACACATATGTTCTCCCTAATAAGCAGTACCCTTTAGGTCTCACAAGATGAGAAGAATGTTGAGAAGGCTTTTGAAGGAGGTGCACAAAATATCGATGTGATCCAGATGGATCAACGTATCAGAGCTTAGCCATTGAACTAATAAGGAATTCTGATTTTCGCTACTCTGAAATAAAATCAAATATCAGCTTTTATCCATTCACTGATTGGGGCCATCACCTTGGTGTAACAGTTTTCAATTCCTCTGTCTCAACTTCAGTATATTAGATAAATAGTCGCTGGTTCTGTTACGTTATGATTGTGATCACGGCCGGATAGTGATAAACGCCACTATTCCGTAGGACAGCTGCTTTACACGCTCCCGAGCTCAGGGCTCTGTGCACCACCATTATTTGCTAGTTGACTCGCCGCGGTTGCCGTACAAGTTAGCTGCCCTCCTAAGCGACCAGCCTTGTCTCTGCAAGTCACTGTACAATTTTTCATGATCTAGTGAGCATTCAGATGCATATTTGGCTTACCGAACAACTTACAGGGAGCACCAGATACCCATAATAGGCAATTTGTGTAAAATCATAGGTTTTTTTTCACAGGAAAATCATCATCTTAGGTTTTGGGAGTTCTATTCGAGAAACAGACGCGCCAAGTCACCCATCACCGCGCGTGCCGAGCTAAATTCGGCCGGGCGGTGGTGCCTTCTGACCCATGGGTCTTGCGCTGCGCTCACCCTTGCTCTAAGCCTGTAAAGATGTATATAGGACAAATTTTTTTGGTACTATTCTACTATTACACCCCTAAAAACTCAAAATTTTAATTTTCGATGAAACTTCGTCTATAGGGGTAA